AATACAGCTATTTATATACATACCTAAACATCCGAGAAAAGAGACTAATGACATCAGAAGAACTGGTCAGAACATAGCGTCATCGTACTTCGAGAATTTGGCTCATATGATTGATAAATGGCTTTCAAAGATCCAAATGTTGCGAGTTGTCTTGGAGTTCACATGCCTTTAAGGATTAGCGAACGTTTATTTGATTTATAGTTTCTGTTTGAAAGAGTCAAGTTCAAGCCTTTGTTATTTGAAGAAAACTTTTGATTTTTTTCCGTTTATCAAAGATTACTGAAGAGAATTGCAGGTTCGCGAGAAAGTTTTTTGAAAGAAAGCATCGGCTTCAACTCAAAAACATCAACACACATCGGGGCTTAACAGAGTTTAAAGAATTTTTAGAATACCCGAAAAACCTAATGTCTTGGAAAGTGCAATTTAAAACTCCGCTACGGATAAGTTTGTACTCAAATCATTTCGGATGGTATAATATCCGACATAAACTGGAAGGGTTGGGATGATTAGACGAGTTGAAATAGAAGTAAAGGGTTCACGAATTGTTAAAAAGTGGTTGACATCATTTATGTATAGCTATAACAATTTTCATCAGCTTTAGTTAAAAATAAACAAACAAGGATCTATAGTGTAAGAAATAATGTGTAAACTCTTGTTATATAACAAAGTTTATAAATGCGTTTATAAAAGCCAAAACTAAGGCATCAGCTCGCATTAAAGAACAAATATCTCAAATGAACACGTCAGAAGAGTATAATGATCTAAAATCAGATCCTGTGGAAAATTCTGCATTAAAAAGCATTGTTATGAAACTGGATACTCTATCGATTGGAATAGTTGGTGTGTGATAGATCATAATTCGGTAGAATATGGGAAAAATGTGTTGTGATCACCAAAAAAGTGCCTTTTGATCACCAAATCAATTACCGAAAATTTAAATTAAAGAAAATATATACAAGAAGAATATATAGTAATTTAATAGCAAATTAATTGGCGGACAGTATATACAAGAAGAATATATATAGAAAAAACTAATCACCAAACCAATTAAAGAAAAAATACACAAGAAAAAAGTAACTTTATGCAACAAGGCTGTACGAACCTTTTTCGGACGACCTTTATCTTTTCCGCTACCTAGTGGTACACAACGCGTTTTGTTCGTGACCTGGTACATGTTGAATAAACTGCCTAATCCTACTGAATGTTTGCAGGTATATTGCCTGAGGCCAATTGGACACGTAGACGATGTAAGTGGTGACACTAACCAACATTATGTCTGCCATGTCACAAAATCGTCAAATGATACCCATTGACCAGATCGATACAAATCCAACATATATCTGCAAACATTCAGTAGGATTAGGCAGTTTATTCAACATGTACCAGGTCACGAACAAAACAACAATTTAGCATCAATTTACCATCATATGCGAAATGATAATTTGGCTTGGGCACGGGGTTTTGTTGCTACTTACTTTTCCCCTTGTTTTACGTGAATCATACCAAATTCAAACTTCCGACACTACCATTTTATTTTGGGCTTAATTATACATCAATCGATAGTGCTCGACGAGCCGATGGGGAATATCTACGTTTTAGCTTTTAAAAATCGGTTTCTGAAGGAAAAAGTTTTGAAAAATGCGTTTTTTGAAATTTTTCCCCTTTACTGAGAAATTTCGCGTTTTCTAAATCAAGAGCGAAAAAATCGGAATTCTGCTAGTAGTTCTCAATTTTCTCCACCAGAAAATAATTTGAATTTTTTTTGAAGCCGAAGGGCTTTTCGAAATTTTTTGATGCTTCTGGTATTTTGAAGATTTTTCATGCAGAAACCGATTTGGAAAAGCTAAAACGTAGATGTGTTTTGTATAATATCGAATCCTAGATGTCCATTCATTCGAATACTCGAAAATATTAATATCAAACCATTACATAACATCAACAATAGAAAATAATTTTTATTTAATTTCATCCGGTGTATTTGTCAGTTATATTATTCCACTTATTTATGATCTCGAACAGATTCAGAACATCTACGTGTATGGTGGTGACTCGAATCAAACGAAAAATAATGATTTTAAAAAATTACGTTTTTCTGACGATTCGGTAATTAGCATGGATGAGCTAATAAATAGTGGACAAAAAAATGCGCTACCAATATCAATATTTTCCGGACAAAAACATCAGAAAAAATCAATTCGCTATTTAACAAACAATGAAAATGCTCTATTCATATGGCATCAACTATTAATTGACGTGTTACTGCGAATACCATCGACAGACAATGCCAAGATTGATCTAACAGAGTTGAGTCGAAACTGTTGAACTGTAATGAATGTGAACAAGAAAAAATTAACGAATTTGAGGAATATTATGAATCGACAAATGCCGTATTTTGGTACAGACGTGATTCCTTTCTCTATCGCTTGCTGAATCAAGCATTTCGAACAGAGGATATGACAATATTTTTAAATTTCGATTTTTTATTGTTGATCTCTATCAACAACTACGTGATGTACACTCATCGAGGACTTCTGTCAAAAAACTGGTAATTCTAAACAGGCTATGACTTTTTACGGAAAAGCTCTTGAAATATGTCATCAATCATTACCACCAAACCATCCTCAAACATGGAAAGTGCTTACAAATATCGGTGGATTGTACTATGAAAAATCTAATTGGTTAGAAGCATTGAAATATTTTGAAAGAGGATTAGAAATAGATAAATTGCTACTGTCAAAAAATCATCCGGACCTAATTGCATCCTACAACAATTTAGCATCAATTTACCATCATATGCGAAATGATAATTTGGCTATAGAAATGTTTGAGAATGTGCTAAACTGTTCAATAGCATTACCACCAAGTTTCGAGATTGCTCACACAAACAATAACTGTGGTGTATTGTATTTTAAACTAGGAAACTATACAATGGCTTTAGAAAAATTTAGAGTAGCGTATGAAATGGGTTCAAAACTACATGTTATGGACGCTTCACAATTACTGATGTAAAAACAGAATTTGGAACAAAGAATAAAGTTTGAGTCTGGGTTTGTTTTTCAAGAATATGTTATCATGATACTGAGTAATAGGTTCAGAAGCTTCAGAACCCTTCTCAGCAGATTAATATTGTAGCATATTGTTATGTATTGATAGTTTTTCTATCTTGTTCGCTTTATCCAGTAACAAAAATACTCTCAACTGCATTCGTGGAAAATACAGCTATTTATATACATACCTAAACATCCGAGAAAAGAGACTAATGACATCAGAAGAACTGGTCAGAACATAGCGTCATCGTACTTCGAGAATTTGGCTCATATGATTGATAAATGGCTTTCA